CAAAATGCCCTTTGTCCTCTTGCCAAATAATAAAATCCTTATCTGTACCAGGGATCTGTACTTGGACCCATTCTCTTTAATATTTGTATTAGTGTGTATGACGAAGTGCCCTTCACCACTTGTGCCTGGAGAGGCCAGCCTCCTGCCCTGCGACTATGGCCCCTGGAAGATTTTGTCCTTTAAAAATTTTATTTGGGCATATTGGATTTTTATTGTACTCTGTCTGCCCCTTTAAATTATATTGGAGCAGTATGCAGCTTTAACTTGTTAAGAAAACCCATGTTTTATTCCCACCCTCCCCCCTCCTAGAACACCAGTTAAACCCTTATAACTGTCAAATATTCAAACTCTGTCTGACCTTTTAACTGTCATATATTCAAACACTGACCTTAAAGGACCACTATAGTGCCAGGAAAACATACTCATTTTCCTGGCACTATAGTGCCCTGAGGATGCCCCCACCCTCAGGGTCCCCCTCCCGCCTGGCTCTGGGGAGAGGAAGGGGTTAAAATCTTACCTTTCTCCAGCGCCGGGCGGGGATCTTTCCTCCTCCTCTCCTCCTTCCTAGCGACGTCATCGGCTGAATGCGCAATGCTTTCCTATGGATGCTGGCGTCTTCTCACTGTGATTTTCAATGAGACAGCCACTAGAGGCTCTAGTGAAACTGCTGTGTTTATTAAAAAAAGGGTTAACCATAGCTGGACCAGGCACCCAGACCACTTCATTAAGCTGAAGTGGTCTGGGTGCCTATAGTGGTCCTTTAACTGTCATTTTGTTTTCCTCTGAGGAGGAGTTGTTTTGCTGCACGAGTGCTGTTGCTTTTGTGTGCTCATTAAACAGACCTGCTTGACCCTTTCTTGAAGCCTTGGCTCATCCTTGGGGGATGGGATATGTCTGCAGTGCTGATGGTGTCGGTTGGAGTGCTTGGAGTCCTCTGCAAGCACTAGGAGCATCGATTGGCGGAGGTACTCGGTCGGAGTGTCAGCGGATCCATCACATGTTGGTGGTAGCGGTGGGATGGCGTCCTAGTGTGAGGAGAAGCAGCCCGGAGACACTGGTAACGTTACGGAGCTACAAGTGAGGGCGATGCTAGCACTCGTGCAGCGCAGCACCCCTGTCTACAGAAGAATCCAAAAGGCGCGGATCGGAGCGCTAGTGGCCCAGAGTGGGGGCTGAGCGAACATGACTTATTGCTATGAGGGTGACGCTTACATTGTGGAGGTAAAGAGGCGGCTAGCCAGGTATGGCCCAGATCCTTCTGAAGAGGTGATCGTCCAAATCATGCACGAGTTGGATGAAGAGAACCAAGCAGCATGGGAATGTGAGTTCAGATTGTGGAGACTGGGGCTCGGGACAACCGGTCTCTCTCCCCAGCAGCAGACCGAGTCACCGGGAGAGGAGAGCAGCAACCTCTCTCCCCAGTGGCAGTGCACCGTGCAGAGGGAAGAGGGAAGAGACAACCAGTCTCCTTCCCCAGCAGCCACAAGAGGTATCCGAAGTAGGGGTCCTCATAGACTTTCCTGTGAAGAGCCCCAACAGGCAGGTCGAGATGGGACCGAGGACTCTCCACCGGACCCACCGGGATGCTGGGCAGACAGCCCAGATCCCCAGCAGCGACCGGAGTTACCGGGTGTGGAGGCAGGTGGTCCTGTCGTATATAATTTACTGCAAACCAATTAGTTTGAATGACTATCTGTTCCTGTCCAAATTAAAGATAATAAAGTTGCGTGCACGCAGAAGTAAATTCACACTGAGACACAAGGTTCAGGGTAATGAAAGAACTTCAGAGAAGTTTAATGGCTTCTGACAGAAAATGGGTGCGCAGACCCTTTTAAAGGCATTATTACATCATTGAAGAAAATCAAGATAACAGCAAATAGACACTATTGATTGGTCCAGGTGTTAAGTGGTTAGTTAGGTACCCTCCTATCAAGAGGTGATGTCATCCTTGACACGGGAGTGGACACAAGATGTAGGCGCCATCTTGTTAGCACGAGGTGTTCACTCGATGGGAGGGGTGCTTTGGCAGCCATCCATTTAGAGTGTAGCTGGCACGGTTAGTTTCTCAAGGTTAAGTTTCAAGGATTTTAGTAAATACACATTTTATCAAAGCTATTTCTTGCTGGCATGCAAATTCTATGTTCTATAGACAAAGCTTCCTTGTAAAACTATGGGGGCCTCTTAGAGGTATAGCAAGAGGATTTAAAGGGGCCTTACAGATTTATAGAGGCCTAATAATTCTACAACAGTCCCCCCTAAAATGTTATTTGCTAAAAGACAAAACTTTATTTGTTAGTATCAGAAGAAGTATTAGCCCAAAGACACAGAAACCCCATGACCGCTGACTTAGTGTTAATGCAAAGTGCAAGTCTATCCCTCTCTTGACCCTAACAGGCTGCAGCACATCCGTCAGTACGGTTCAGGAACACTCTTCACTCCGCTGGTAACCCATAGTGGCTTATCCACTACTTCTCCGTACGGCAGTCTACCCATAAAGACGGACGCTGTCCCTGTACTGTCCCTTCCTAGACTTTCTGCACTTCATCAGTATAAGGGAGAGTTTGTAGCGGAATACAGGGTGAGATGAGGTCTTGATCATCGATTGTCAGATGAGTGAAGGTTGGTGTTGCTTGGTCTACAGTTTTCTGCAGGAATTTCCTTAGGCATGGGAGGACACAACAAATGAGAAGAGCGAGAATAAAAAGAAAAATTAGTAAGACAATACCAATCTGGACTAAAGCTCTCTGCCAACCAGTCATCCAACCAAACCATTTTTCCCAGGGATCAGTAACTCCAGAGTTTCTCTTTAACTCTTCTGAGAGTCTATTTAATTTAGCTATGGCCAGAGTGACTTTACCATTAGGACCTGTGTTTTCTGGGATATAAGTGCAACAAGTCATAGTGTCGGGAAGTATTTTACAGACCCCCCTTTTTTTCGGCTAAGATCATGTCTAAGGCCAGTCTGTTCTGGAAGGTCATTTGGGATGTGGCCTGTAATTGCTCGGCCAAGCCCTGGAGGGCATCCCTGGTGTAGTTCACGAAGCGCTGTTGGTTGTAATAAATGTAGTTAATCCAATTAAGGTTTTTGTTGGCAGTGACTATGGTAAAAAGTGATTCAAAACCTGCAGCTACTTCATCTCTAGCTTTAAATTCATTAGGTACCCCCCTAGGCACCCCAATGGCATCTATGTAAATGTGGGGGTCAAAACTGCCTTTTACTGGGGTTTCGCACCTTACTCTGGCTGGTGTATGTGGAGGGTCGTATGTGTCATGTTGATTATCAGAAATAATATGAATGGGCATGATAACTTTGGCCAGGGTACACTCACCCCACCACTCAGTTTCCAGCCTAGATCTTAACTGTAGATCCCCACATAACCAGTAAATATCCCCCAATGACCTGGTATGGTGTTGCAACAGGCGTATAGGAACAGTTCTGTAAGTGGCGCAATAACCTTTAGAAAATTACCCATGAATTTACCAATCCCGTCATACATGGCATAACAAGTGTAATTACCTCTATAGACTGTGATTCCATCTGGTGGCTTAACATTTTCAACTAAGAGAGGGTATTCTGCCATCCATGCCATGCAGAGGGACCTATTAAAGTCATATTGGTAGGCAAAAAGGCTTAAGAAGCAATCTTCTATCTCTAAAGGGAGAGTTAGGGGGACGGTGCCAGGTTGGGGTCGGGCACCGCCACATACATAACATGCTGTTTTATTATGTTTGTTAGCATTATACCTCATCCATTCTAACCACAAATTAATGTCATTGAATCCAGTTTCAGCGGCCATGGTATCTTCAAAAGTGGGGTTAGCGATGGCCATCATATCTTTAAAGGACTGGATATGTGGTTTTAGCGGATTAGGGACCATATGATCAGCCCCTTGCCACTCTGGAGAGTGGTACATATCTCTGAGGTAGAAATGACCTAATTTGTTGTAGGAACCTTTCTTCCAATACATTCCCATTACATATCGGTCTGCATCCTCTGGGCCAGGATGTTCAATATTTATCATTAATTTCATAGGGGTACTTCCTCCAGGCTTTCTTAAAGTCATTCTTTGAAGGAGGGATCTACCCTGATTGTCTATCTTAGATAAAGCACTTTTGGGTTTATAACCCCAGGCAGGCCCAGTATTCCATCCCGCAGCCCCCCAGTAGTTACAGTCACAACCCCATTGTTCATCTACTGCACAAACGTAAGGGTCTTTTGCTTGTGGTATATCTTTATAAATGGCTTGAATCTGTGACTTAGGGAATGGGCACTCTACAATATCACAGTAATCAAAAGTGAATGTAGCCACATGGGTACATGATGAATTATACCAGAAAGTGTACCCACTAGCATCTTTGGTGATGGCCACCTGCTGGGCTTTAAGGAGGCCAACTAAGGAGATAATGTACCAGAGGCACATGGTTGCATAGAGTTAGCTTCCTCTGGGGCAGTGGGAAGCGTGGATCCAGTTAGGCCTTCCGGCCAATTTGACAGAGGTAGGGGAGATCAGGAGAACTTGGAACGGTCCGTCAAATCTTGGTTCCAGGGTGTGTTTTCGCACAAATTTCTTGACCAGAACCCAGTCACCGGGGAGCAGACTGTGGTTGCCTGTGTCAGAATCAGGATCTGGAATTGAAGAGAAAACTTGGGCATGGATTTTGTTCAAAGCATTTGCGAGTTCAGTTACATAATCTACTAAAACATCAGTTTGAAGTTGTAGTTGTTGGGGAAAATAGCAACCTAGCCTAGGTGCAGTCCCAAATAGAATCTCATATGGGGACAGTGAGGTAGCATTTTGTACAAGAGCATTCATTAGATCCTTTGATAAATGTGCAGGTCCGTGTGCCCATTGTACGACTGCTGGGTACAAATTCTTAGGGAGGCAGAAATTGAGGTTGTTGGAGTACACTCCATCCTTCAGAACTGCCCCTTTCTGTTTCCACTTCTGTATTTCTTCAGGGGCAACTGTAGCCTGTTGTTCCCGCAGGATTTTCAGGTCAGTTGGAAGAGTCTGCAGAGTAAATATGGGAGTTTCTTCATTTCCGGACACTCTTCTTTCCACTTCCTGTGGTTCTTTTGCAGCTTGTTTTGCAGCCTGATCAGCTAGATGGTTGCCCTTTGCTTCATCTGAGTCCAACTTCCCATGTGCTTTTATCTTTAAAATAGCCACTTCTTCTGGGAGTAGGAGGGCGTCCATCAGCTCCTTGATTGCGGAACCGTGCTTGACTGGTGTACCGGCGGTGGTAAGAAATCCTCTTGTTTTCCAAATTAATCCGAAGTCGTGAGCCACGCCCAGTGCATATCTTGAATCCGTGTAGATATTGGCGCGCTTTCCTTCAGAGATCTTGCATGCTGAAGTCAGGGCTTGCAATTCAGCTTCTTGTGCAGACATAGTTGATGGTAAAGATGATGATTTGACAATTTCATCTGTTGTGGTTACGGCATATCCTGTATGGTATCTTCCTTCTTCATCAGCATATCTTGAGCCGTCCACAAACAGGGTGAGATCGGGATCTACCAATGGGTCTTCATGCACAGTTGGTAGATGTGTTGTTTCCATTTTCATCTGTTCAAAACAGTCATGAGGTGTATCTGGGTCGTAGTCATTCACTATGGTTAAATCTTGGAACTCATTTTCCAGGAAATGATGTGGCCATGCTTTTAGGTGGTCAGTTGTTGGATATTTGACAACACCATTTTCCTGTAGCTGTGATTCGTCTATAGTGGCCCATACTTTTGCCATAGGCCCAAGATCATTCCATGATATTGTTTTCAACTTGGTCACAGGGACATGTGGAATGGCAGTGTCCCAATGACGGTACAAATGCTTGAGTTCCGGAGGTAGATGAATCAAGACCATACTGTTGCCTTCAGAATCACAGTAGAAGTCTTGTGCAGTGAGTTTTACTTCGACCAGATTATAGAGTTCATCTTCATAGCAGGGTTCAGGAGTGATGTTTGGTTTGTACCACATGGTACAGAAGGCATATCCTGCTCCGTCATGAAGGAGTGCTTGTCCATCATGAAAGGATAGGTTGGGATGCATTTCCTTCTTGATGGTGCCAGTGAGAAGAAAAACATAAGTTTCGTCCATGATGAATCCGTAGTATACAGTTTCGTCCATGATGAATCCGTAGTATACACCCCCCTCAGGGAGTGGCAGAAGAGTGGACGGATTGAGAACTTGACATCTTTGGAGGGTAATGTTGTCAGGCAACAAAAGATGACATTGAAGGCGAAGATGCCTAGCAGGAGTAACATGCTTAAGTTGGACCTGGTTGACTATGGCAGAAATGTCATGAGGGGCCAAGACAACCAGGGGGTGGCCAAGGACAAGATCCCCAGTTCTTTCAATGAGCTCTCTGGCAGCAAAGACGGCCCGAAGGCAAGAGGGACGTCCTCTGGCCACAATATCCAGTTGGCAGGAGAAAAATCCAATAGGCCTTTGGCGGCCTCCAGGACCATGGGCCTGAGTGAGTACTCCTGTTGCATGGCCTTGTCTTTCAGAAACAAACAATTTGAAGGGTTTGGTATAGTCTGGTAGGCCAAGAGCAGGAGCAGAAGCAATAGCACGTTTGAGAGAACAGAAGTTGTCAAGGGCTTCTGTGGACAAGCAAAATGGGTCTGACTTGAGAGCATCATAAAGAGGTTGCATAAGGAGCGAGGCTTCTGGGATCCATGCTCGGCAATAGGAAATGAGGCCTAGGAAGGCGTGTAGTGACTTTGAGATCCTTGGAGGTGGAATGTCCAGTACTGCTCTAACTCGGTCACGAGTGAGATGTCTGGTTCCCTGAGACAGACAATGGCCAAGGAAGATAACAGTAGATTGGCAATATTGCAGCTTGGGACGTGAAGCTTTACATCCTTGTTCTGCTAGGTAGCAAAGAAGATTAATTGAGCATTGTTCTGTTGTGGGTAGATCATCTCCACAGTAAAATGGGAAGGGAACAAAGAACTGTAGTGTCTTTTCGTGGCAAAGGCGTATTTAATGGAACCTGACCGTCTGCAGTGAGGGTGATGGATGCTTGGAGGCAGGATAGGACATCAGCACCAACACAAGAGACATCGGTGTCAGGCAGGAACGATGAGTCAGGCAGGTCTTGTTCTCTAGGAACACTGCGGGATGCACCTGTGTTAACCAGGAAACCAGGAAAGCAGTAGGGTGACCTTCAATAGGTAAAGTTACAGTGGCTAGTGGCCCCCCTGTAGACACTGCCATGGCAGGGGCATTAAGCATCAGCGGGTTTGCTCTCCTCAGTATGGGCTGTGTTACTGACTCAAACCCCTTTCTATGTCATTAGCCATAGCTTTTTGCAGTCTGAACATGTCTATCATTATAAATAATGGTTAATAGTAAGTTAAGTAAAGTTCCTATATGTCTTTGGATAAAACATTAACTATTGCGGTACTATCATTTATATTAATTAGACTATAACAATTATACCACCCTGTAACTAAGTAAACAACCAGTAGTGGCTGGGTTAATAAAACATGTCACAAACCCTTCTAATGCTAAACCATCATTTAAAGTAAAGGATGTTACTGTAAACATACGATCTGTAACTAGCAAGATTCGATTAAGCAAAGATACAATGTTTAAAATAACTTGCATTATTTGGCTATTTCCCTTGTTGCAAGATTAATCTGGATAATCAGCTGTTATGCTCTTATATTCGTGTCCAACAGATTTCATATGTAGGTCACACCACATTTGCAAATTACATTTTAGCAACCTTCTTTTTTTTTTTTATATCACGGACAAATTGTTGATACAGGGAAACAAATGGCATGATTGTTTTAGTAATTGTTCTAAATGTCTCTAAATGGGACGAGCATAATAGGGGTAGGCCTCATGATGGAGGCAGCCATGACAGGGGCGGGGAAGGAAATGACAGCAAGGGAGGAAGTGAGAGGGGTGACGTCCATGATATGTGTGGGAAAGGAAGACAGGAGGTGTGGGCATGGTAAGGGCGGAAGTGACGTTACTTTAGAAGCAACCGTGACTGTGGATAGGTCACGGGACTGGCAGGCGCCATCTTTAGGGTGGTGGTTGACGTACTTTCAACCATACACTATATTAAAACTATTAAAATAAGTCAGAGAAGCAACATTCTGTTCTGCAAAATGGAATACTAAACTATGAACAGACCTGGCAGGTTAAATAAGACAGTTGAAAACATTATGCATTTAACAGCCCATACAGCTGTCTTCTAGAAACATGTTCTTTAAAATGATGCAAGATAAACTTGCGGAATTCAACCTTATCTTCCTCAAACCATTAATCACTTTCCTCTTCACATACTAGCTTAACTCCGCATATTCCCTCTATCCACATTGCATAGTTTTGCAACAAATCACGCTTGCCTTTACACTTAACACGTCCAAATATTCCTCTATTCTTGTATCAGATTCACTTACCTCCGTAAATCAACACTGAGCTACATTCTTGTGTCTCCCCCACAATCCTCACTACCCTATCACAAAACACAATCCATATATACATATATATATATATATGCATAAACGGCAAACGGCAACAATAATAATATTATTACACAATTATAACACCATATAACCTTTGAATTAGAATATTTTCCAGCAAAAATCCTGTCTCTAACTCTTATCAGCAGCTCCAAAATGCAGAAGGCATGTACCTCCCCCATTCGGAGGCAAGTGGGGAGGAAAGGGGGGGGATGTGAGACAGTGCAAAAAAGGGAGAGAAGCTGCAGGCATGAAGATTAACCATGTGAGTGCTGGAAAGTAACAAGACAGAAGGACAGAGACTTATACGTTTGGAAACCAGAAATCTTTGACGGGAGAAACGGACTGGAGGTGCAGGGAGCTGCAGAGAGAGGATGAGGGTGACGAGATCTGTAGGACTGATGGGGGGGGGGAATAGGGATCCATCAGCATCCAGTAACACAATTATTATAATACACAAACAATCTTAAACCTTTGTGATCAATTTCTTCCTCAACCTATCCCTTTTGCTGAATAGCTCTTGCTACTCGGTACCAGGCTTCTGCTGTACAAATCAAATCTTGGTCCGACAGCTTCCCTTTCTTCTGTCAGTAACTTACGCCAGCTCTCTGGCTGCAATCTGCCGCACAGAGGTACGGTAATTCCACATACTTTAGCAATCTTACTCACTTTCTTAACCATCTCTTCTCCTTCTCTGTCTTCCACTAGATCACATGCTAACCAACCCTTACTGGGTTTATCTAACTTCTGTCCCATCCTCCCTATATAAGGCGTCCCAGATATAGAGAGAGAAAGGAACAGAACGTCTACCGTGCTCGACTGCTACTTTAAGAGCAAGCTCTTTAAGTACGTCTTCCCAAAACGTAGACTAGTCACTGATTCCGCCTACCCGTGGTAGCCGCGGATTGGAGCGTGGCGAGAAGTGTGTGACCAATCACTTCTCTCAACAGAGAAAGAGAAATAGGAGGGGAAAGTGTAAATAGTACAGTGAGTAAGATAGAAGTAAACACAGGAATCTGTGTGACAGACAATTAAGACAATAACATTTCAGTGTAAATACAGTGCATGCATCACAGTTCAAATAAGTTCAACAGTTTTATCCCTTGCCTTTACTCGTGTGGCCAAAAGCCACCTCCCTCAACCTCGTAGTGTCCCTGTTGCGGACCCACCCGCAAGTCTCACTACCAGCAGCCACAGGAAACAGCAACAGCTTCCAACCCGAATCCTGTATAGCCTAAAGAATTGGAATCTTACCTGCCTCAGCGCTCGAGGCTGGAATTTTACCAAGAAGCTAAGCGGTCAAAATGACACTATGGGGAACCCCCAGGAAGCAATGAGTCTACATCATCCTCCACAGATTCCCCCTACTCTTTTTCCTTACAGCCACAGCCACGTGGCTCCTAAAAGAGTTAAACAGGCAATAGAGGACCCCCAGGAAAACTTCCACAGGCCCACCCCCCTTTTTCCTTACTACCACAGGCATGTGGTACCTAAAAGGAGTTAAACAGGCACTTACACTCCCCGGGTACTAAGTTAAACACATACCAATACAAACACACCCAGGCAACAGATAGTCAACATGCAGGTAAACTAGGTATCATTAACAATACAAAGACTCTGGGCAAGTTATTACCTGACTTTGATGTCCTCTCGGCAGCAGTCACAGACACTGGGGCAGGTCAATCACAGGGGTAGGAACATACCGGCTAGGTGCTGCAGCAATCTCTACCGTGTATTCAGAGGTGATCAGGCTCTTTTCCTTCCCCCAGGATTCAGCCCCCCCAGCGTCTTCTTGGACAGCTGCCCAGACAGGACATAGCCCAGAGCCCCACGTTGGAAAGCGCCAATTTGTCGTATATAATTTACTGCAAACCAATTAGTTTGAATGACTATCTGTTCCTGTCCAAATTAAAGATAATAAAGTTGCGTGCACGCAGAAGTAAATTCACACTGAGACACAAGGTTCAGGGTAATGAAAGAACTTCAGAGAAGTTTAATGGCTTCTGACAGAAAATGGGTGCGCAGACCCTTTTAAAGGCATTATTACATCATTGAAGAAAATCAAGATAACAGCAAATAGACACTATTGATTGGTCCAGGTGTTAAGTGGTTAGTTAGGTACCCTCCTATCAAGAGGTGATGTCATCCTTGACACGGGAGTGGACACAAGATGTAGGCGCCATCTTGTTAGCACGAGGTGTTCACTCGATGGGAGGGGTGCTTTGGCAGCCATCCATTTAGAGTGTAGCTGGCACGGTTAGTTTCTCAAGGTTAAGTTTCAAGGATTTTAGTAAATACACATTTTATCAAAGCTATTTCTTGCTGGCATGCAAATTCTATGTTCTATAGACAAAGCTTCCTTGTAAAACTATGGGGGCCTCTTAGAGGTATAGCAAGAGGATTTAAAGGGGCCT